GCACTGTTTGTAAAGCTGACTTCCCACAAACAGGGCTCAGCATCTGCTCTGAGGAGTCGCTTGTGGTGGAAGACCTCGGTGCTATGTGAAATTGAAGAATTCTGCTATGAGCCAAGTAGCTAGTGGTCTCTGCCCATCATTGCATGGGCAAGACACTGAGTTAATGAAAGTCTAAAGCTGGTGTTGCTTCTGCTTCCTGATCTGTGTCTGCTATCTTGGTGGAAGCTGAAAGTTAAAGATCATAACATTTCTAAAAGCTTGACAGCATTTAATCATCTTCACTAAGATTCAATGATTTGAAGAGGCCTCCTTTTGCCTGGCACCTGTCTTTAGGATAATCTTCCAGCCCATACCCAGGTACCTTTTTAAGAGATGTTGAGATGAACCAGTTGCAGCTTCCCAACTGCAGTGCTAATGTCAGTGCAGGTGCTGCAGTGACATCCTGCTGGCGTGCCCCAGCCTTGACATCAGTATATTGTCATCTGAGACTGTCTGTTCACTCTGAGTGGCCACTGTTTTGGAAAGAAAAATACAAGTATGTTACTAATGTAGCGTGGGGTAATTTTGAAGAGGTGCTAAAGATATGAGAGGCTTTCACTTTTTTCCTCCTCCGAAGGATGAAGTTATCATTCCTTAAATATCTAGCAGCTGGGAATGGACCAGATTTTACAACAGCAGTTCATTTGCTCTCCAGACTGTTTCCTTAAGTCCTGGGTATGAATAACATGTGGGAAAGAAGCCTTAGCAATATGTATAGGAAAAAGGCAATGATTTCAGATCAGGAGTCTTGGCCTAATTCTCCCTGTAGGATTTTAACAAGTGGCTTTTATGGTCTGCCTGCTGAGTGTCATTCTAGGGAAATCCTTTGTGATGAGACATGAAAGGTATCCTGAAGTTATTCCCGTTTTGGCATTCCCAGCCTCCCTTGGAGCTGTTCTAGAAGTGCTGTGTGCCTTCTCACCTTGATAGTAGTTTATGAACACTACTTTACATGGTGCTCTGATTCTTCTGATCAAGCATGTGTCAAAATTTAAAGTCTGTTGCCTTTTTCCAGTAGTTCTATCTCATGCACTTAATTAGACTTCAATAACATTAGCTTTTAAATGGGAATGTGAAATGCACAATGACTTCATTGTGACGATATGCTTTGAACAGAGCCCAGTTCCTTTTTTTTTTGCAGCAGCAGCAGCAGCAGAAGCTTGCTCGCACAGAACAGCTTTTCAGTGCATGTTTGCCACCTGCCCCCCTCTATGGGCTGATTGACTGTGTGTCCATTAGCTGCCTGTTGTGTTGTGAGATGGCAGCAGTCTGCACATGAGAAGGCTTTGAGCAATAGAACAAAGCTTCCCACCGTCTGTATCAAACAGCACTGTAATTATTAGTGGCAAGTTGCTGCATGAAACTTTTTTATTTTTTTTTTTTAAATGGTCCCGGTCATGTTGCTTTTGAATGAAGATGAAGAGCGACCGGAAATCCTGGATCTCTAGGGCTTAGGATGTCACTGCAGCTAGGTTGTGATGACGGCTTTGGCACTGCAGATGTCTCACTTGCAGGATCATCAGACTAACTGATGATGTTCTGCTGTGCCTCGCGTCTAGAAACTTTTTTCTTTCTGTGGTACGCTTGATCTTGAAGGGTTATAAAGAAACCAAGTCTTTGCAAATCCTTTCTTGTTGCTTTGCAAGTTTTTGTCAGTTGCTTGTTTCCTAACTCTTCTTTTAACTGTAAATAAGTTGAGTCAGAAACTTGTATTGTTTTAGAAATGTTCCTAAATATTAATAACTAATTTTGCAGTGTTGATCAACAGCTTTCACCGCAACTTATTTAAGTTAACCAACTGCTTAGTTTGACACTGAGTAATGAAAGATAAGAGGATCTAGCTGGCATTACACAGTACCACGTTGCTGTGCTTGCTCACAATTTTCTCCATTTATTTATTTATTTATTTTTTAATTAACTTAAACTTCACTAATCATTGGCAACTTGGTTACAGTTAATTTCATGTATTAGTCCTGCTTCTTGGGTATCGCCACTGACCCTACCTATCACTCTCTTCTGGGGGATTTTATAACTGTTTTATACTTAGTCTAAGTAAAGACATTCAAAATGCCTGAGACGTAATTGAACCAAGTTGCATGGTTTTCTGTAAGCAGCGGCGTTCAGATCAGTAGCGAACACAACATGTGTTCACCCTTTGACGGGGCAAATCTTAGACGAGGTGCTGCCAATTTTAGACCAGTCTGTGCGCCGAACTCTGTTCTGTTACAGGTATAAACCGGTTGTGCGTTGAACTTCTGTTTTGTTATGGGTATAGATGGGTTTCCAATCGCTTAACACAGGTAAAAGTGTAATGTCTGTACCTGGCCCTAGTCTCCTAACAGGTGTAATGGCACCTTAGATTGTCTTAACTTTTCTTTATCTTTTTTTTTAATAGTTCACATTCACAGGAAAAATTAACACCTGATGTTTCTAGTATTGGAACCAGGCTTTTAGATATCATGTTCCATTACATGCTTCACAGCAACATGAAATTTGGAAGATGGGAAAGAGAAATTTAAAAAAATGGACCCTTTGGCCCCCCCAAAATGTCTTTCAAATGTGGAGGTGGTGGAACTTATTCTTCTTCCCAGGAAATGTTTTTGTACAATAAATAACATGTGTGCACGTGTGTCTGGATTTTTTTTTTAATCTCCAGATGTTTTGCTATAAGAAATCAAAACTCAATCTGTCTTTGGGGTTTTTTGGTCATTCAGATGTGCTGGCACTTGCATACTCTCTTTTCCATGTTGTTGTTTCATGTGCATAATGATATTTTTTTGGTTTTGAACATCTGAATAATAATACTCCTTTCTTACAGATTTTAGTGGCTTGCTTTGTTGGAACTCATCCCTTTTTTCCCCATTTGACTGATCCTTATTTCATATTGTGCCGGGTAGCTCACTTATACTTCTTTAATGGTCCTTCCTTGTTTTCCTGTTGTCTGTTTTAGGGAGGCATAACAATGTACTGTTAAATCTTAGGAGTACTTGTTCTTGCTAATTTTCCCCATCACTGAGTGACCTTGCGTTATTTGGATCTTGATTGATAAGTAGCTCCATCAGTAACAATGGAGTCTTCTAGCATTTGTTTCCCAGCAGGCCCGGCTCCCAGAGGAGTTCTGCATCTATTAAGAAGTGAGTGAGTTTCTTTGCTCATTTCTTGATGACTTGGCAGTTCCTCCTCTGTTTAGATTAGGGGCAAAAGGAGATACAAGAGCAGTACCCTGTTAGCTGGCAAGGATGACAG